TGAACAATTGACTGTCACCCACGTAAGACTGACTAGATGGGTACAATGTCTGAAGCCGACTCACTCACTCAATCACTCTTCATGTGTCTCACATGTACAATGATAAATTGAAAACTTAAAACTAGTGGTGTGACGATTCATCGATACGCATCGATGCATCGATCCATGGGCCGCCGATAAAGTGAATCGATACAAAGTTTTATGTTGTCGTATATCCCGATACGATACTTCAAATGGGACACGATACATCGATGTTTTACTTTGAATATTGCCTAATAGCGATATCTGTCACTTTTGTTTGATGATTAAAATATATGCATACTTATTTTCCCTTCATAAGTTTCTCGGAAATTCTTGCGTCAGGAACTGTGTCAAACATAGCGCTCGCATTTTATTAACTTTCACAAAGTCCGTGTATAAACCTTATTATCTCATTTCCCAATGAACATTAAAAAAACCGCTGGCGGAATTTGACGAATTTTAAAATAGTTTTGATTTCATCTTAATGTGTTTTACAGTTGGTGTTAGTCTTAAAGATTTTAGTATCGTGATACGTATCGTATCGCCACCCTTGTATCTGGATTCGTATCGTATTGCAGCTTAAGTGCACGATACTTTGGCAATATATCGAGGTGACTAAAATGTTAGTATCGTAATGTATCGTATCGCAGGTTGTATGCCAATACCAGCACTACTTAAAACGTGTTCAAACCATAAGTCCTACTCGTGATCAATTGTTTTCTCCATTGCAATCATAGAGATGTAGATACAAAAGACGATGACAAACGTGTTGATTTGAGGATTAGCGTCATGACACCTGTTCATGCTCTGATACAGAGCGCAATTGAAAAGGTAGGCAGAAATCGTGAGGTAAAACTTACGTGGATGGCAATTGGCAAGTCTGCTGGACGTGGTCCAGTGAGTTCAAACCATGTAAACTAGACTGTTTATTCAAAGACTGTAATACAACTGAAATGATTAACGCTCAATCTTTCTTCCCCAGAATGTATTTTACTTGTTGATATAATATAATGTCGATGTTATTATGTCAATAAAGGAATTTTTGTGAATCAATCGTTCGTCTTTGTTCACTGGGTTATCATGACCCAAATACTAGTAATAACGATATCGAGTGCAAAGGACAATATAATAATGCGAGATTTATTAATGCGCTTCATATATAGTCGCATTTTTCGCATTAATAAGTAGCTCGCATTATTTTATTGATTTACAGTATGTATTTAGCGGACAGATCAATTTCTGTTTGTATTGTCCAATTCTAATAGGAATTTGCGATCTTATCTTTTTTGCGACAATATCCGCCATTTCTTCGTCTGGGACAAATAATCCGAAGAGGAACTTATCTACTTTTAGATGATAAATTCAACAAGGGTGAAGACATTGATGGAACCAAATAGGGCAGCTGTGAGACAAGATGACGGATGTAAATGAACCTGGCTCTCACCGCGCGAATACATTAACCAATGTTCACGAAAACACAACTGACGTCAGGAGAGCCTTTGATCAATCTTTGTCAGATCCGTCAGTGACATAACTGCCCCATGGTCATCGAAACAAACGCCATTGTCCAGCCCGGGCGCTATAAATGTTAAACACGGGCTCAGGGTTGTATTGGAGTCTGTCACACATCACCATGAGGGTCACTGAAACACTGGTCGTCATTTTGGGGCTTGCCTTGTGCAGCTGTATGGGTCAAGGTCAAACACGGCAACAGGTACAGAGCTTTATGTATTTCAATAATTCGCTATCCTTTCACTTCGGAAATGACTCACAAACATCAACCAGTTGAGTTCGTCCTATGAGGAACCTTGGCAGAGTTGATTATTGTATGTGCACGTGTGTTTCAAGGAGCTAGTTTTGTATCAGAGGTTTCCATCGGAGATATCTGCACACAAACGTGTAGGTATTACCGTGGGGAATAGCCACCGCCGAGAAATACCTTCACCACTGCCATTTCTACCCAAAATGAATTCAACTGAATGAAGTGCGTGCGTGTATGTATGTATGTATGTTTGTGTGTGTGTGTGCGTGCGTGCTTGCGTGTGTGCGTGCGTGTGTGAAATCATGACACTCTTGGTCGGTAATTATCACAATGTATCTGGCATCTCAGGGTACGGGGGATGAAGGGAATGACAGTTCTATTCTTTCCATGAACATATCATTATATTTGAATATTATGTATGGAGGGGATATACAAATGTAAATTAATATGAAACAGCCACAAATGACTTGTTTGTGCATTTGCAGCGACGCCGGGCACAGGTTTTAAGGAGCAGATGGTCACGTGACCTAGACATCAACGTAACTGTTAAAGAAGCGGCCGCCATTTTGAAATCCAAAGAGAGAATATTCTTCCGATCCTCTGACAGACGGCTGACGGCGTTCAACATCACCCGATCCTACTCCTACATCGACTATAGCAGTGTGAGTACATCAGGAGCCTTAGGCGGTTGGTCAGTTTGTTGTTCAACGCCACACTCAGCAGTATTCCAGCTATATAACGGCGGTCTTTAAATAATCGTGTCTGGACCAGACAATCCAGTGATCAACAGCATGAACATCGATCTACGCAATTGGGATACGATGACATGTCAGCGAACCTGACCACCCGATCTCGTTAGTCGCCTCTTAAGACAAGTATGGGTTGCTGAAGATCAATTGTAACCCGGATCTTCACGTCTGGTCCTTAGTCACAATTGATCACACTGTGATTTTGCACAGTATTTTTTATGTTGTTGTTGTTTTGTTGTTGTTGTTTTGTTTTGTTTGGTTTTTTTGGGGTTTTTTTGGTTTGTTTGTTTGTTTGTTTGTTGTTTCTTTTTGTTTCCTTTTTTCTTGAGGGGGGGGGGGGTCGCTAAGCGTCAGTTTGGTGTTTTAATGTTAAAAATATTTCAGGTATACTAACGAGTTATATTTTATTAAAAGGGATATAAAAATGTTATATGTTAAACAGTAATACAGTCTGATGTACGTATCTTTGTAGCAGTGTCACCCGAGCCGGTAGGCGAGGAATAACACTGCTACAAAACGGCGTACATCAGACCGCATTACCCGAGGGAGAAGTTTACGACTTATTTATCTTACCGCCATGTAAAGTGTACAAAATATCATTGTATTTTATTTTGAAGATCGATAAGCTCGGTTCCGACGATATGGCATGTAAACAAAATGGCGTCTGCCTCTCGACTGGATTTTTAAAATCAGTCAAACATTCTGACAAACGTAAAACTGCTATAAAAATGGTTAATTATGTTTAAGTTTAGTGTGCAAACAATGCAATGTATAAAATGATTTAAATAAAACAGTGAATATCGGTAAAATAAATGTGTGTACTTGGTGAACTCAAAAACAGCTAATCGAACGGTTTTCGACTTCAGTGCACTGCGTGCGTCATATTATGATGTCATACGATTGTTAGCGATACAGCTTCTCGGCGGAGAGTTTGGCGGTTACCGTGGCAGCGGGTAATATTCCTTCCAGTTGTCACCCTCCTGGGAGGGGTAACACGGAAACGGGGTTTTTTTTAATCGTCATTGACCAATGAAATTAAAGTATTTTACATGAAGGTAAGATAAAGAGTCAGGGAATACAGAGACACAGCTTGCAGGAACGAAGTAGTATTACGTCAAGAGTACGGCGGTTTAAATCTGTCTCAAAACAAGATAAAATCATACACAGATTGAAGAAGTTTTGTATCAGTTTCTTTTTTTATATAACTTCTAAAAATGCCACTCAGAGAAGTACAAAATCGAGATCATATCCTTTCAGACAATAATACTGATAAAGTGATAAAGGCCAAACAGGAAAGTAGTGGAAATTTATTTGACACTGATAACAACAGAGGAAGGAGATGTCGAATAAATTTTTTCTAACCTAAATCATAACGCCTTAACCTGAGGCGAGCATGTATGACTTGTTCCATAATAAACATCAAAGTAGGAGCTTTGTTCAGACTTAATGGCTTTACTTTTGAGTTTTTAATGCTTGCTTTATTTAATTATATGTTTTTGTTACTCTCATTGAGTTTAGTATGTTTTCTTTCAAAATACACTTTTGTTTCAAAATGTTTCCTAAATGATTTATGTCCTTAGGGACTTTTTACTCTATACATCCTTTAATTTATCAGTCCGATGTGTGATGTGAACATTATTTTAGTTATATCACTACGCGTCAACCAGATGTATGATGTGAACATTATTTTAGTACCTACGAGTGCGAAAATATTGTCATGAACAATGCTATGACGTCACGTTTGTTCCGCGACGTTGCGTTCTACATGCGGTGACGGCGGGTAGCCAGCCTATGTTTGAAAGTAGATTTAGGTTTATTTTCCTCAATTTGACAACTTCGGTAATAAACAGAATATCATATTCGTGCCCATATCATACTATGTTTACGACACTCGTGCCTAAATATCGGCTATCGCTCGGGAAATACCAACATTTAGGCACTCGTGTCGTAAAGATAGTGTGACATGGGCACTCATATAATATCCTCTATTTAGTTATATCACAGAAAAAACATCATTATGTGAAATAGTGACCTCAGTTTAGACTGTTCATTCTTAAACACTTACAATAAGGAATACTTGTCCGACAATATCTTTAGCAGCGCAAAGCTAGTCCCAAACTATTAATAACTTGATATAAATTCGACAGCCCAAATGACATCACTTTAACAAACGAGCCCATGTACTTTGAACTTTATCTGAATAATTCTAAAACCGTTTTCACTACGAATGAGCCACAAGTGCTTTGACGCTATGTTTGAAAGAGTAACATTATATAAAGCTGACAAAAAAGTCCCGAATCATAATATTAAGTTCATTAGCAGAGATATTAAATTCGGTTTCGTGGTATGACGCAGTTAAGTGTCATGTACGTATATTTACTTCTCTCTATCACACTCTTTAGTTTTCATTTACTAGTTCCAACACAAGTCCTATATTACCGATTAGGAGAAAACAAGAGCATATCTACCTGACGACTCCGACCTCCGAGTGTCTGGGCTGCAGGGCTGTACCCAAATGTTTGCTGTATTATCAAAGTGTTGAATATACTGAAATGACAAATTTACATCCTACAGGACTTGATGGTGACCAAGGCCTACGTGTCAGGCAGCCGGAAGTGCATCGTCTTACCAGGAAACATCACCGACGACTTCAATACCACCATGAATGACATACTGGCCAGGAAGGTGAGCTTGCCAACACCCGGTGTCATCGCTGATATTCATTAATCCATTTATATTGATTCAATGGTTCCTATTTCGGGGGTTATTTGTAACTTATATATTGTTTCAAGACGTTGCCGTTGAAAGCATTCATAGGAAAATGGTCACTTGACGACTGAATCTATAAAATAGAAAATAAGCATTGATATATTGACGCTTTATGAAGATACGTAGATCGATGCTCATGCTGTTGATCACTGGATTGTCTGGTCCAGACTCGATATTTACAGACCGCCGCCATATAGCTGGAATATTGCAGAGTGCGGCGTAAAACTAAACTCACTCACTCACTCACTCACTTTTGAAGATGCGTATCCCTGTGTTATTGGTATCTTAAATTTTTCTCATGACAATCACTCTTTTTTTTACTCAGAAACAGAGGCTGAACGAGACTGTTGAAATCGGCCAATTTGCAATGACATCTGACATTGCGATGACAACTTCAGAGAGAGAAGCCTTTCAGTCTGCCAGTCCTTATCTTGCCAGAAAATGTCTGAAAATGGATGTCCTCAATGCAACAGTACCTGCGACTGGTAAGTGTATCCAAGAAGTAGTTTTGCCCAATGACATAATCTGTATCCACACAGAATGTTTTTTTTATTCAGATAGTTACCAACTTACTATGTTCAAAAACCGCACTATTGATTTAGAAAACAAAACATTTCCTTCCTTGGTAGAATGTAATCACTTATAGTCGTAGGATAAATGAACAAATGAAAGCGTTTAATATGGAGAGGGAAAAGAGAAGAGTTACTTCGTGGTCTATATTTTGTAGGCGCAGTGGGGTAGACTAGTGGTTAAAATGTCGAAAATCCGGGTTCGATTCCTCACATGGGCGCAATGTGTGAAGCCCATTTCTGGTGTTCCCGCCGTGATATAGCTGATAAATTGCTAAAAGCGACCTAAAACTCACTTACTCTATATTTTGAACAGTAAATATATTCTACATGCCTTTAAATACTTTAAAATCTAAGCAAAGATAATGCTATTCAAAGGATTCAGTGGATTATAAACAATGCATGTCTCTTCAGTGACATTATGCTTTTTTACTTTTCAGATATGACAGACACGCTTGATAAGTTTCCATTAACAATTCTTACGGTTAGAGGAAGCGTCACCATCTACGTCAGCTCCACATTGAATGCGTTGTCATGAGAATGACAGGTGGTTATATTTTGCTATAAACTGAGTGTATGTATGTGATGAGTTGTGTTTATGTGGCAATAGTGTCAAAACAGTTTTAGAATTTGACTTTATGCGCGATGTTTCTGATGAAAAGGATAATGAAGTATAAAATTGTACTCTAGCTATGTCTAAAAACGAACCCGAAACCGTAGACAGTTACACAGTTTATGATCACATTGTTGAGCCGATATCCTTGACGGTCACCCTGTGTTGGCAACAAGAGTAATCGTGTTACAAGTGTCTTTCATTGTGCTCTGTGACCGTGAAGATCCATTTAGAACTATCATCAGCAACCCATGCTTGTCGTGAGAGGCGACTAACGGGATCGGGTGGTCAGGCTCACTGACTTAACTGACACATGTCATCGTATCCCAGTTGCATAGATCGATGCTCATGCTGTTGATCACTGGATTGTTCAGACTCGATTATTACAGACCGCCGCGGTGCGGTACGGTGTTAAACAACAAACCAACCAACCAATTATTCCGTGTTAATTTTCTTATATGAGCTCTACTGTTCCCGAACACACACAGCTACAAGAACCTGTAAAACACAGAGGTTATAGGATTTTCGAGATAGGTGCATTGATATGTACCTGAACTGAATATTGAGAAGGTGAAAAATCTACCTATTTCTATGACACAACGTGGGTGACTTGTAGTGTTAAACACGGTTTGTTTGAGACAGCGAGTCCTGTAAGTACATTTATGACGAACTAACACATATACCGAACTGGCTGTATCTTTTAATCGAAACTACGAACTACGGATATAACAACTAATAACAGAAGATTTTGGACGTTTGAAAAACAAAGGTCCGGATACACTGTGGTAAAAGTAGAGGGAAGATGTTAAATTCTAAATTTGTAAGTTGCCGGATCTAAAAGATTCAATACTCATGACAATGAACGGTAGTGAGACAATCGGGCTGTATTTCCGCTTTGTGCCAGATGTAGCTGTTGTAGAACCAGGAAGACATATTCAGTACATGTACATCTGACAATGAAATTATCAAAAATTTGCTCGTGTTGAAAAAAAGGAATTCACAAGGACACAGACTTGCTAACACATGTAGTATACTAAGTGTACACCGAACACTCTTATAAAACGGATATAACGAACTGTTTCTGTCCTGGCCACTGACTGTATGTTTTAGCCGAAATATTAATTCTTTCAAACTGAAACATGAGTCCCATTAACCTATTCAAACAATGACCTACTTTTCAGCCGATCCGAAGTTTCTCGTGTGAAAGTGAAAAGAGACTCCACAAACAACTGTGGTTACACTGATTTCCAATTCTTCGTGACATAAGAAAACTTTAATAACATCGTATTTCTATATTTTATGGCGAGGTGTTGGCAGCATGACCTTAACTAAGACGTCACAGACTGCCCCTGTTTGATGAGGTCGTAAAATGATTCACAATTCATCTGGCTCACTGGTTACACTTGTTATGTGTTCTTTGTGCTTTTTAAGTGTAGTTTTGTAACGCACAATGTGATTGATATCATATCAAGTCCGTACCAGACCGTCAAACCTTTCTAGTGGCAGAGCCTCGTTTTGAGGTTTCTACGATTTTCAGATTTCCGTCTGTCAGAGCACGCTGTACGACAGTGCACGCTGCACGACGTGTTTGTAAGGATTAAAAGAAGCGTAGTGTTGCAATATACAAGTGCTTTGATGTATCAAATAATACTGATTAATATCAAATGTATCCAGTTGAATGAATTGGTCTCAACATTCTGGACTGGTTATTGTACTATGTTGCGCAATGGGACGAAACCCAGTCAGCGGGAAACGAGACTGTTGTGTAATGAATGGTTTGACTTGTAGCCGTACTTTTGGCTAAAATATACAGAAAGTGGCCAGGGCAGAAACAGTTCGTTACATCCGTGTGTTGGTTGTACCGAATGACGAACTAATCTCCGTGTTCCCTCTGAGTTCGGTATAACGGTAGTTCATCGTATTAACGTCAGATTCACTTTCATTATAACACATGAATACTTTCACGTCGACTTCTAAAACGTTTGCTTATTTCTCAAACCAAGCAGGTCATATGACATTCTCCCCACCATTATGTTGTACATTATACATGTTGACTGTGAAGTGTCGGATGGAAATAAAGATGTCACCCAAAAAGCATTGTTTGGTTTATCCATTCCATGACGTTAGCATATGGAGAAAGAAAAAAAGGATGATTTAGACAATGCAGAATGTTAACAACTGAAAAATATCATTTGATTATCTGCAACGATTGCAGTTAAACGTGAATGCCAGAATAGTTATTGTGGTGACAATTATATGTATGTGAATGAATCCCTGAAAATCGGTTATGACACCAGATATTCGCGAAATCGATAAGTCACTATTGAACATCAGTTGCTTGACCATCCTCACAAACATGTTGCTTTTGTATAAAGGGGAAGGAGCTCTGAATATTGCATGAATGGATCACTTACAATCACTTATGACATCACAAGTTCGCGGAAAGCGTAATTCTCGCCATAAAATATGTTGTGAAGTAAAGTCCATGAACAGTATGCTGGAATGTTCTGATGAATATCAAATACACCTGTCAGTGAAATCTGTCAAAACCGGACTCTATGTAATCCGATTTTCTTCATAATCCGGACTACTCTCTGAGTCCCGGCCAAATTGTTCTTAATTTATCATTAAAGCGTGCATTATAATCCTAATTACAGACTAAAATAACAGTCCCGACAATGCACTTCTATGAGAACAGTGCCATCCGGACTTAGCTGACTAAAATAACAGTCCGTTGAATAAACATCTCTGTTATTCTGTTCACAATGGTTAATTACTGAAAACATTGTATTACGTGGAAATTTACAGAGGCTGAATCAATTCATGTTAACAGACTTTTTCCAATGAAAGTATAAAACAATATATTGAGTATAAATGAAAAAACAAAAAAGAACCATTCAAGACGTTGGTTGTCCAAAGAGAGGTAACCCATCCTGTCAGTGGGGACAGTAACGGACAAAAGATGTCTACTCCTGACTACTTTGCAATCCGGACAAATGAGTCGGTCCCAGGCCAGTCCGTAATAGACAGATTCCACTGGAAATGGCTGTGCTGGTACTTACATGATTTGACTTATGTTTGCGATGTATTGGTGACAGAGTCTTGGGACATGAGCGTTGAGTGGCTAAAGTAGTAAACATTTAACCAGAGACCATATACAGGATTACTCTGGTGACACCACGGCGTTCCGGGGCCTATTTACCAGTAAGTTTAAAGCGTCTCGGTTCGATTCCCCACAAGGGTACAATGTGTGAAACCCATTTCTGGTGTCTACCGCCGCGATATATTGCTAAAAGCTGCGTAAAAACATACTCACTCACTCCAAGCCGCGAACTTACATCCGTGAAAATTGAATGTTTAGATCTTTAACTGAGAGTGTCCGTCTTTCATACTCGGAATTTCATATTTTCATGTGTCAGGATTGATGAATTGTTCAACCTCACTATACCAATTCAATGGTTAATGCATCTTGAACACAAAAAGAATACCCTGTTTTAAACGAACGACACATAACTAATTCATGCTCTGATTAATGGGATGCCCTGAAGTTGTGTCATGCGCAGAACACCATATGTTCTAGTTACATAATGAGCTGAAGCAAATAGCTATTCACCATTCAAATACATGACGCAAGCTTAACGTGTTCCATTGTTCCCAGTGGAGGTAAAACTGGAAAAATACATTCATGTTTTTAAACACATTTCATCACAACCTGTCATAACTGTCAGATGAAAGCCTAAAGCGTTGACGTCGGAGACGTTCCGGTCATCATAACATACACTTATATTGACATGTTAAGGGACATGTCATCGATACTGAATGGAAATGCTAACGTTTGGCGGACAGTCAAGACTGGGTATGGCCTTATACTGGACAAAATTAGTTAGGGATATACGTAAATTTTGAAATTATGAATAATGATCTATTTTTTCATTGACACACTGATAAAATATTAATCATAAAAATACCAATATCCCTAACATATTTTATCCAGTATATGTAGTTTGCAGTATTATTTCGAAGTAAAAACTGGATCATACAATGGCATCCGTTTATGTCATAAAATACCATAGAATATAAAAGATATTCACCCACTATGTATAAATAAAGAATATACAAGTTATTGACCCACTATGTATTTTATGTAATATAAATGATATCACACTCTATATATCATAAATAATATACAGGATATTCACCCACTATGTGTATTGTGTAACATAAATACACAGGAGTGAGTGAGTTACGATTTTAAGTCACATCGGCAGTACTTCAGCCATATTGTGACATATACACAAGATATTCACACACTATATATAATATACAAGATATTCACACACTCTGTATAATATATGATATGAATATTATATAATATACAACACATATACACATATGGTGGTGTGGTGGTCTTGTGCATAGAGCCCAGGTCACACATCAGTTGAAGTTACGCAACGTTCGTCTCGGACAGTCCTTGGATGGGTGAGTGTGATTCCTGAGTGTTTTGACGACTTTAGCAATGCCCCATAACGAAGCACATGTAACACATGTGGTCTCATCTTAGGCATGTGAGTTTGTGTAAAATTGTCTCTGTCACAAGCAGCTTGCGTTGATAATAATGTCTAATCGCTTTGAGCATGCACAAGTGCGTACAAACGCTTAAATGTCCATTATTGTGTAACATTTTATTATTATATGCACACATTATGTATAAAATAGAATGTACAGCATATTTACACCCTCACACTATGTGTAACATAGAATATATAACATATTTACACACTATGTAGAATGTACAAAATATTAACACACTCACACTATGTGTAATATAGAATATATAACATATTTACACACTATGTATAAAATAGAATGTACAGCATATTTACACACACACAATGTGTAACTTAGAATATACACCATATTTACACTCTATGTATAAAACAGAATGT